TGTCAGCGAACTGATCTCAGACCGCATGCTGTCGATCTGCTCGCTGCTATTTGTGTCTCCTGCCTGCGAGCCGTCCGGAGTGGTCCCTCCGGTTCTGCGGCCCGCCATCCCTAATGGACTCCCTCGAGGGAATAAACACTAGTGTGTTGGTATGTCCGTACTTGGGAGGAGAAGACACGCTTTAAATCTCTCTGATTAGCCACCCGCGGGAGCGAGGAAAGGAAGGGAAGAAGTGGCCCTCCCGAATTCGGGGAAGGGGGCCCACACATAGTAGCCTTTTCAGGCATACGCATGCTCCTGTCTACGTCCCCCCCCCGTGCTGCTAGCAGATCTACCATGGTCGTATCCAGACACACGAACAGACTGTATCCATTCTGCCATGCTTTGCTCTGAGGCTAGGCGGCGGCCGTGCATGCCGGCGTACTCCAGCATTTTCTTCTCTCAGTCAGTACTGTTCGAAGCCGAAGGAACTGTTATGCGTGAAAGGAGAAAACACACATGCATGTAAAAATCCTAGCTAGCGGAATGAGCATCCTCCCTAATGTGGAGACCACCTTCATAAAGGTTGAAACTCCCCAACGTCTGTCGAGGAGGAAACCCTCTTTTCCACACTACCTTCTGAAGAAAGTCGGCGACTCTACGTTGGTGGTCTTGGGGATTACTTCCCGCTAGGTTTCAGTGCTAGAGAGTGTTATAAGATCCTGTCTCAGCCAGGTAAATGGTTAACCTCTTACCGGGTGGCTGAGTGGTCTGTTCGTGATAGTTGCTGCTCTGTGTGTCGACAGAGTGACGTAGAACAACTTGATTGGACAGTTTGAATTGCGGGACTGTCTGCGTTGAAGATCGTTGAGTAGCCACATATTATCATAACAGCAAGGAACGTTCTGTGGGAATGTTCTTCGTGGATGGTGCATTACCCCGAGTGTGTTTCTTGTGGATAGTGCATCAGTCCGAGGATTCATGGTACGTTGTGAAGTACGTTAGCCCCTGTCTGTTGAGTCTTTGTGTTCCGATATCATTGTGTTCTGCTTTTGTGCGTTGGTCTAGCGACATGGGTGGTGCTGCGGTGCTGCTGTGCTGCGGTGTTAACCCCACCCTTGCTCACTCCACCTTTTGACCTGTTCTCCTGGTCCAAGGTCTCATCAATTCAACATCTTTTCCCCAGAAGCCACGAGGTTATCAACACGCTATAGCGTACCAGTCGACTGCTGCTTGTCCCCTCGGGCTGTGCGTCAAGACTGAATGGAGGAAGATTGATCACCTTGCTTCGTGATGAGTGGGCCCGCTGGGGATCATGTGGATGACCGACCTCCGGGTGATTCGCAGGATGTCGTTGGTGGTGAGAGATTGGATTCGATCGAGACACAGTTGTCCCAGCTCACGAACATCATTAAGTCGCTTGTTGGGCAACGAGGTGATCAGGTGGAGTCCTCTGTTTCATTTGCTGCTGCGCCGGGAAGCGGCGGAACAGAGTACGTACGCCGGTGTACATCAATCGGATGTCACTGGCAGGACTGCGGGAGGTATGGACAGTAGTGCCCAAGGCCTTGGCATGTCCAGCGTGAGAGTTGGGAGTAGTAGTGTTGCAAACACGGGCTTGAACCCTCACGATACTACTGTTAACCGTTCCTTTGCTGGTGTCACAAGCTTTGGTTCGATTGGGATGGCACGTAGGGCTGTTGGTAGTCAGCCTTTCATTCCAGGAATAGGTACTGGGGCTTTCATTAGCCAGTCTTCTATTCCACCCGCACCTACTGCTTCGAGTAGGTGGTGGGAAAATGTCGCCAGTGGAACCACATTGATTCCTGGGGCCGGCATCACAGAACCAGGAGAAAACTTGGGTAGGAGCCCTTTGAAAGTTCCCAAAGCTCCTGTGTTCGACGGATCGGGCGTTGCATATCCGTCATGGTCACAAAACTTTCTGCTGAGTGCCCGACACAGCAACTTGTTAGAAGCATTTACTTCTGAAGTGAAAATTCCGATCGCAAGCATTGAATTCGCCTTGACCCCTTGGGTAGTCAAAGGATACAGTGTAGGAGTGCTACGCCAGGCAGAGATGGGATGGTGGTTTTTGTTCGACTGTTTGAAGGAGGACTCGCTGAAAGCCATGGCTAGGCATGCAGGTTCCCCCAGCAAGGCATTCCAGGTATTGTAGGATCACTTTCTCCCTTTGAGCCAGAGTCAGATTCGTGTGCAGGAGGAAGAACTGACATAGTTGCGCTTGCGTACAAACGAGAACCCATCCACTTTCTTTGCATCCATGAGACGCTTGGTGTTTTGCAGATGCTGAAGTCAAGAAAGAGGACAGAGAGGTGTGCACACTAGAGGGACTATCCCACGAATACAAGACTTTGCGTGAGACTCTTGTAGTGTTTTGCCCGAACGATCCTGCTTTCATCGAGACCAAAATACGTGAGCGTTACCTAAACTTGCAGACACAGACTGGTACGAAGAAGTGTTCGTGGGGCTACGGACATGGTGGATACATTACCCGTANCAGATGGTGTAGAACCTTTTAGGTAGGGGTACGGTGATGATGCACCGGGACCCCCTTTGTTGAGTGCAGCAGCCGCGCTGCCACTCTCTCTTTCTCCTCCTGCTTTCCGAGCACGACAGCGTCCTGGGTACGGGCGTTGTCTCACCGTCTGAAGTTAATACACTACACAAACAAGTCCCGATAAGTACGCGGAGTACGGCCGACAAACACTCTAGAGTTTATTTGTCCCTCGAGGGATAGCCGCATCGGGTGATGTCTACGTCGGACAGCGGTTCCGTCGGAGGGCTGGGGGAAGAATCTCAGCCACGCAACAGCAACACGCCGAGGATCCGGCGATTGCGAGGCTGGAGGGCCAGTTATCGCA